TTATAGCGGAGCTCCCGCGCGGGCCGAAGGCCCGCGCGAGCGGAGCACCATAACTAAGGAAAAATGGTAAACCCATGAGGTTGAGTTTTGATCAACCGACACAGGAAGCCCAGTTGTCCTTCCGTACGTCCGTCCGTCCGTCCGTCCGTCCGTGTACATCGCGATTCTGATTGGCTACTTTTGAGAAGGCGGGAAAAGGAAGCGCGCTCGCGTCAATTGTTGAAACAACTTTTTCACCACAACAACTACATTTTTGTCCTTTCAAATACTTTACCTCTGCGCCAAATGTCGGAAAATCAACGGGTAGCTAGCGGAAAGCGATCTTTATCTGAAGAAGAAAAGACAAGAAGAAGAGAAAGAGAGCGTCGAAGAAGTCTAAGTGAAGAACAACGCAGGCTTGAAAGGGAAAACGTGAGAGACGAAACAATCAAGTTTATTAAGACTCAAGCAAATCGAGAAACAAGTGAACGCCAAAGACAACGATTATTGATGGAGAATTTCTCAGAGGAAAACTGACATATTCTCCGACGATACCGTGGCGTTATTAAACAAATGGCGGTATGTTAGATTATATTTGCAAGCGGTTTTTGGTGCTCAAATTATATCAATTCTTCTACTTTAAGAACCATTGGCAGTTTTAATCTGGTTTAAATTTGCTTTTGAATTTCAAAATCTTCACCTGATACACTTCAAAACTTCTCAGTTAAATGAGCTTGCATGTTGACAATGAAAATATGTGTGAATTGTGTACACGTATTCTATCCACAATAATAATCTTCTTTGACATAAAACTACTCGGATGTTTTAATTTATAAAACTATGCATTTTGAAAAGAGAGCCTTGATATTATTTGAATGTTCAGATTTTTACTCTTTATTCTTCAATAGACTCTAGCTTTAATACAAACTGTCAACAAATACAGAGAGCAAAGATAAGCAAAGAATTCTGTTGAAGTGTTGAAAAATGGATAATCATTATGAACATTATGATTCCTTTGTTTATAAAACTGTCAAAATGTATTTATTACTTATCATTGATGATCACTGTATGTCAAAAATGATTAATGTCATTCCTGTGTGATTAAATTATTATTACGTATGCTTCCTGTGTGATTGAAAAACCACCAAAACTGTCAAATTGCATAAATGACCCATAAATCATTTTTTTGGATCAGTGTATCATTGAAAAATATCAACTGCCAAAATGCATTTATTATTATTTATCATTCCTGTTTGATTAAATAAAGGATATTACATGGGTGCATGGAAATATTGTGCTAACTTGTGGGATATATAAATTCAAAACTTGAAGATAAAATTCATATCTTCAAGCGACAGCTGTAATGTTCTGTCTATTAAATGACATTGGTGTAAGTCTGTAAAGTCTGTAGTTATATAATCATTAGAAGATCAAAAAGTTTGAACATTTCAAGAACATATTAATTATTAATTTATGATTTCTGCATGAT